AGCTTGCTTGCTTCCTACTTTCCTTCCTTTTGACCAGGTCTCGCCATGTTGCCTGGCCTGGCCTTGAACTCATGATTGGAAAGAGCTACCTGTCTCCACCTCTAGAGTATCTGGGATTATAGACATTCACTGTCATGTCTGGAAAAAGAGGCTATTTTTAAAAGATGGGTGATAACTTCAGCATGTGTATATGGAAATGAGCTAGTAGACAGAGAAAAATTGATGATGCCAGTATAGTGAGAATTCTGCAGTTTTTCTAACCTCCAGAGTGTGCTTATATTGCCCTTTCATGTTTTATCAACTTGAGATACCATTTATTGACTCTCTGCTATGACACATAAGCTTCAGCTTGTCTACACTTCTTATCTCCCATGTACTTTGTTCCAGTGCCCCAACATTCCACCCCTGCAGTTTATCTATTGGTCACTGTGATAGTCTATCTCTTAATCTATCAGCTATAGATAGTATCTCCTGATTTCTTGCCTTATATGATGAGGGTATTCATGCCTCTACCCTACCCTCTATGTGTCACTCAGCTTTGGGACATAATGGTGGGACAACAACACAAGATTATTTCTCCTTTACATATGAAATACCCCGCTCCTGAGCAGTCAGAGACCTATTATTCTCATGAGAGGGAAGAACAGTAGCAGAACTTCACAGTGTCTCTTACAGTGCATGAGCACAGCAAGTTCACAAGCAAGTGGGGCTTGGAGAAAACAAATATAGACAGATCTCAAGGAATACTGCCATTAAAGGGAGTGAAGAAATGGGATGGCTGGAGGAGTGTGATGTCACTTGGACTTATATTCATTTGGCCAAAGCAAGTCAAATGCTAAGCCCAATATCAATGGTCAGGAGAGGAAGTATTCTCCCCCAACCAGAGGCAGGCCAGACATGGCATCAGGCAAGAATGCACAGTCTTCTTTCAAGGAGGATGGTAAATAACTGGGAACAATAATTTAGTCTCTCACAATCTACTCCAACTTCTGTGTTTTTCATTTTATATTGTTAATGTAGAAAACTTTCACATACTCTTTCATAGCTATTCTCAAGTTTTCAGGGCTTTGTTGTTGGTTTTCAGACAATGAAAGCCACCTAGCAGCATTTACATCACTGTTACTAAGCATATACTCTTCAGTGCAGAGCCACGGAGCCCACACTACTGTTCCCATGACACAGATTCCATGTGTTTAAGAGTCCTTCTTGCATTCCACCACGTAAATCCACAGCTTGAAACCGGGCCATCCACTAGGTCACTGCAGGTCTATGCCTTTTATGAAACAATTTTCAGTTTTCCTGAAGTTTCTGATTCTTTTCTTCCTTGTTGATAAGAGAAACATAAACCTTATATGTCATATCACTAACAACCTCTCAATTCCTTCTTACTTGTCATTGTTTGGATTCTTCTCCTTCTCCTTCTCCTTCCTTTCTTCTCCTTCCTCTTCTTCTTCATCCCTGCTGACCTGATCTAATTGGACAGGCTGCTTCACTTTTAGATCTTAATGCTTCTGCATGGCTTTTTGTCTTCTGGTGTTTTTGTTTTGTTTGTTTTGGGGTTTTGGGGGGGGGTGGTACTAGGAATCAAACTCAGGACCTTGCACTTGCCAGGCAGGTGCTTGTGTCACTGAGCTATATCCCTGGCATGACTTTTTGTCTTTACTGTACTTACTAACTGCTTTCTGTTTTTCTTGCTTGCTTTCTTTGATTACAACTCTAACTTTTTGCAGCCTTCCAATAATACTTTCTACTAGCCCATCTCATATCATCCTCAGAGACCACCTTCCTGGAGTCCTCTGTTAATGAAGACTGACTGCCTTTCAGGCCTACAGAACAACTTCATCCTAGGGTTGCTCTTCATGGCTGCCTGAAGTAGAATTCATTGTTTCTTGGGCATCATATCTTCTTTCTTGTTTACTCCATTGCTATGCTGAAATGCATCTTCAAGCAACTTTCTTAAAAAGGCTGAGTAGAAAGTAAAATCCCTTAGTCCTTGCATGCTCAGACCAGATGATCTCTAATGTCTATTCTAGGAGTAAAATTCTATCAGTATGTATTCATTTATAATATACTATTGCAAGGAGAAACTTAAAATAATTGCTGTTCTCAAGGAATTTACAATCTATTTAGATAGACAATAAATTCTCAAAACAGTATCAAAAAATCATCAATACAAAAGATGCTACAAGCTAGGGCATAATTAACCATCAGTTTGAGCCTTGGGTCTAAAGGAAAGAGAGAAGCTGACCCAGGCTGTGGAGCTCTTACTTGGGAAGGAAAACTTTAGTGAAGACAAAGAGTAGGCAACAGATTAGGGATAGGTTAAATGTTTATGTGGTTTTCAGCAGTAGATTAATGGCCAGCATTAGTCTGATGGAGTGGTTAACAGTCAGTGGGAGCCCCTCCTACTCCAATTTTGCCTGCACTGTCTGAGTCATCCACATTTTTGCTTTGCCAAATCATTGCAGATGTAAATTTTAATTATGGAAGCACAATTACACCTTTGCCAATAGGCAAACTTTCTGACCATCTTGGGACATAACAGTGAACTTTGATTGTATATATGAATAAAGGCTCTTCCTATTGGAACATGGTGATACTGGTAGTGATTTTGTCTTTCTTTTTTTTTTTTTTTTTTTTTCCCTTTGGTACCAGGAATCAAACTCAGGAACTCACACTAGCCAGGCAGGCACTTACCACTGAGTTCTATCCCTGAGTTGGTAGTGATCTTTATCAGTAGAATTTTGCTGGATAGGGCTAGGGTGACGCCCCTTACCATGGTCCACTTTAAACAAACATTCCTCAATGTTCCACCAAGGATCAGAGTGACATGAATCACCTCTCCTCCAGCACTCCGCAGGACAGGAAACATTTCTCTTAGACCTTGAGCATTATCTTGACAGTGCTGCTGCTTGAATGGAGAAGGAGCTGGGGAATTTTAAGGACAGGGCTTCTTCCACAGGCTGGATGGACCTGAGACACCTACATCAGAGGGAGAAAAATGAGCCTTCATTTGGCCCAATGCTCTTATCCAGTCTGCAAATAAGGAGAGGACTTGCACAGGAGGAAGTTTACAGAGGAAGAGAAGAAATGTTCAGATCAGGGCTCTGAGCAGTTTCCAGAGAGTGGGCGTGTAGCACTGGCAAGTGCTGGCAAGTGCTGGCAAGTGCTGGGGGCTGCATGATGGATTTTCTCAGCAGGGCCTACCCAACTACACTTCCCTCTGGGAGGCATGCTCATGACACCCCTTGCATCCTCCAGGAAAAATTAATTGCTGCTAAAACACAGACTCTTCCTGCCACCCTCATAGCACTCAGTGAATTCAAAGTTTGTATTGATTTTCCTCAACAGTCTATTGCCTCTTGACTGATTTATTCATCCTCACATCCCTGGTGCCTGGCATGTGGTGGATGAATGAGTGAATGGATTTGAAGAAGCAGCATTTTATCAAAGGGCAGAGCCAGCATGAATATTCAGCTGTAGCTGGGGCTTCAGAGAAGGGTATCTGTGCCAAGGGGAGGACTTCCAAGGGCTGTGGCCCTTCAAAGCACTCTGGGGAAGGGTGGGGATGTTGTGGCACCAAACAACCAACAAGCAACAGACAAAAATATCCACACAGTTTTCATGGTTTGCCCAGGGCTCCACTGTAAGGAAGAGGGAAGCAAAGAGATCAGCAGCACTCAGAAGCTACACCCACCGCTACAGCAACCCCACCCAGAGATGGGAGCAGGGCTCAGTTCTGCACGAAAGCAAAGAGCAAAGCAGACCACCAGCTTGGGAGAACATCCTGAACCCAGTCACATCGCATCCTCCTTGAAATCCAGGGGACAGGGAGTCTGACTAAAAGGTGAGAGGCACTACCAAAGGTCAAGTAGTCTACGTTCTGTGTGGATAGGAACCAGACCTGTGTACACAGAAAACTGTATAGTAGCGACTAACACAAAGTGGGGTCGGGGGGAGCCTGGGTTAAGTTACTGAAAATTCAGAAGTCTCTACACCCACAGCTCACCTGTTTTATTGCTTTTGTAGTTTGCTTATTTCTCTTTTACTTCCTCCTCGTTTCTCAGAAAGTTTTGTGTTTTTTAAAAAATAAAAATCCCCTAGGATTCTGCTCTTACACAGGGAACTGCAAAGGGGAGGCCAGATCCTTGGGGACAGGCATCAGGGTAAGCCAGCAGATGCTGTCACTGCCCCAGGCTGAGGGTCAGCGCCACCTAGGAGTGACACAGGTGGAAGGTAGACAGCTGCTGCCTCTGGGACTGGTCTCCTGCAGGGCTGGTTCCCTCCCCAGCAGCAGCTTGGCACAGCCCCTCCCACGTGGCACCCATGCATTTGTTTCCTCAAAAGCCTATAGGATGGCATTTACTTCACTTAAAAAAAAAAAAACAGTAGACGCGAGATGCATCCCAGCTTGAGGTTCACATCCTCCAGAGAGATGGAAAGGCAGTCGCTACTCCTGCAAGTGGAAATTTCTAACAACTAGATTAGCATCAGCTCGCCTCCTCACAGCGGCTATAATGGGGTGTGGGCCTGTGGACTGCTGCAGGTATCTCTGAAGGAAAAACCCAAGTAAAAGCCGCTGAACTTGCTGCTCAGACAGACAGGCTTCCCCAGCCGCAGCAGCCCCTGGGGCAGAAAGATGAGTAAGGGCCGGGAAGCCCACAGGTCCCGGTGGGCGGGTGTGGGCTGGGCGATCCCAGCACACCAGAGGCCCCGTGAGTCCCAGAGAAGGCCGTGAGAAAGGCCAAGGAGACCAGAAAAGCACTTGCCGCTGACCTCTGCTCTTGAGAACCTGGAGCAACGGGCTGGCGCGGAGAGTGTCTCTGGAGAGCGCCCAGGAGTGCCCGCCTCTGCAGCTCTCTGTGGGCAGGCGAGGGGCACCCCTGCGCCGGAAAGATCAGCCCGTAGGAAGCAGTCGGACTGGAGGCGGGGAGGTGTTGGCAGTGAGGGAGAGGAGGGGTGGGAGGGTCAGGGAGACCTTCTGCTTCCCCTCCACTTACCCTTCGCTGGGTCTGTGATGGGGCTCCTTAAAATTGGATGCACCGGCGCCGCCGGCCAACAGACACCAGTGTGCCCGAGAGGGGCGGCGCGGGCTCTCCGCTTTCTCACCCTCACCTCCGCCAGGGCAGTGGAGTCCCACGGCACCCTGACCAGTGACCTCGGCCTGGGCCCTCGGCGCCCCGCTGGGTCCCCGGGAAGCTGCGGGAAGAACGCCGGCTACAGAGTCCTCAACCCCGCTGCCCGCGCCTAGCGCTGCCGAGCGGGCTCGCCCCTTCCGCGGCTCCGCGACCCCGAGGCCGCCCCGGAGTGAGCACCGCCCCCGCCCAGGCCTCCGG